CAAAATCTTATTTTTCTACTGGAAAAAAAGGAACTCTATTTTTTTTAAGCCAAAGTTTCAAAGTGAGGAGAAGGGAGGGGATAATTTAATCCAATCAAAGTACAAAAACAGATAAAAAATATGTAGCTCTGACAAATACTGATTGAATGCAATTGAACTTAGAAGGAAAGGGTAACTAAAATTTGGATTTCATTATGTACTGAAGTAGAAGTACAGTAGTAATGAAGGAAACAATGGATATCAGAAAGTGCACTATGATGAAGAGGCCTATGATCACAGCATTTTTTCAGTCATCAAATATTTCTGAGTTTGAATTTTGATTTAATTGAAGAAGTAGTTTAAAGTAGTAGTAGGCAAAAGAGAGGAGTACAGAGAGCAACAGGTCTTGTGGGAGCTAAAAGAAAGCAATGTTACTGGCTGCCCATGTTACCGATACCACTGAAGTCATCATAAGGGGCGCTAGAAAGGGGTACTTGGAACCTCCACCCTGCTTGCACCAGGCCTGCGTGCAGGTGGCAGCAAAGGAGCACGTGGGACCCCACCAGACTGAAGGATGAATGGGAACAGAGGAAGAGAGCCGAGAACAACAGATCACCTCTAAATAGGTCACAGATGGTATCAGGCAGGAAAACATTAGAATAGAAAATGCTGAAAGATAGCGTATATAATATAAAAGTATGCTAAAATATATTTTCAATTCAGGATGACAGATACTAAGAAAATTACGATGTACACCTTGACACAAAGTCCTCTAAATGTTTAAAATGAAAATCCTTTGAACACCTGACCTTCAGGTATTATACTGTCAAGGAACAAAAGTGATTATGCCCTTTAAAAAAGGTAAGCATATCTTTTGAAAAGGAAAATTAGAGGATTACCCAAAGGTTTTAAACCCATGCAGTTCTTCCTTGGGAAAGGGATGCTATATGTTGTAAATAAGCAAGCAGATACTTTCTCTGTGTCTAATGGACAGAAAAAGCATGGCATGCTTACAATTTCTAGGAGAGTACAAAGCAATCTGTTTTCCCAAGGTACTTTTGGCAGGGTGGGGGGAAGGATGCAGTTTAACGTTGCAGAAGTCTAAGGAAACTTTAAGACCCGAGAAAAGACTGAGTTGGGATTGGTTAAGAAAGTGGATGCTGTATGACTACTGACAGACCTTACTCCGGGTCAAGCAATGTGAAATACAGAGGGAAACCATTGCACTAAGGTGGAGAAAACCCCGAGATGACTATTCTACAGATATATGTGCTTGGGGTACACCTAATGTATTATACGCACTGAATGTATCAAATGTATTTGACGTTATGCAGATCTTCGCATTGGTGTCTATTTTAATATTAAAAGGACATTTTGCAGGGAGAAAAAAAAACACATTACCAAAGAAGGAACTTTTTTCTCTGAAACTTGAAACAACAAATACAAACAAAACACGCTTTGAGGTGTGCTAAGGAATCAAAATTGTTCTCAGAAAACCGCACTTGCTCTGTTTAGGAACAATCTCACCAACTGCAAAACAAAATATGCTCATTAAGCCATCTCAGGCAGTAATCACGGAACATTTCTTAATAGGTAGAGAACACAGATATCCTGATGGTCAAAACTGTATACACAAAAGGAAGAGCCGTCTAGCCCATTTCCTGTCAGGGCAAAGTCGGAGTGCTGAGTGCGCTGGCCGTCGGGAGACCGTGCTTGTGAGCTAAGACGGCAAAGCGTGGCTGTGCTGCATGACGGCCTTCTCTCTGTGCTGCTCGGACGTGCCTGGACATCCTCACTAGCCTCTCCTCCTCTGCGTGCAGAGAAAGTTCCTGCGTACCGGCCTCTTGAGAGAAGCTTCGCTTCATTTCTATTGTTTTTACTGCATTGTTTCCCCCGATGGGAGTGATATTTTGTCTTAAAAATAAACACTCCATTTGTTCTCCAAATATTCCAGGTTCTGTCTTTTGTTTTCTTACTGTGAAACTGCATATTCAGGGTCAGAGACTCATCATAAAATTTGAGGCATTCTGACTCTTATGAAAACACTTGAATGACATTTGCGGAAAATATTCATCTAATTCAATCGCTCCTTCATTCATTCTTTTAACGCCCACACACTGGGCTAAACAGAAAGGATAATTCAAAGATACTGAATTGTCTCTGCCCTTAGGATGCTTATAAAACACAAGCGGTAGAATATTTTTAACTTTTAGACGGGGCCAAGCATCAGACCATAAAATCTAAGACTAGGGGTCAGTGTGCTCCCTTGTTCTACAAATATTTCTTGGTCAGCTACTATGTTTCAAACACTGTTCTAGGAGCTGGAGAGTAGAGGGGAGCGAGAAAGTCAAGACTCCTGAACTCCTGGACCTTGCCACCTCCGGCTAAGATAGAAAAAAAAAAAAAAGAACAAACAAATAATATAACCAGTTAATCATAAGTGCTATGAAGAAAAATAAAGCAGGTCACTATCAAGTACAGTGACAGCTGGTGAAGGTGTGACTTTTAGCTCATGAAGCCTTTATGAAGGGACAATATCTAAGCAGAGTTGGGAAAGTATTAAAATCTGAAGGAAGAGCTTGCCATGAAGAGAGACTAATATTGAAAGTTCTTGTAAAAAAGACAAAAAGAGCTGGGTGTGGTGGTGCACAGTGTAATCCCAGCACTCTGGAGGCTGAGGCAGGAGGATCACTGTAAGGCCAGGCTGAACTACGTAGGAAAACCTTGTCTCAAAACCACCACCACCACCACCACCACAACCATAATGATAACAACAAACAGAATCAAACCAACGACGACAAAATGAAAGACAGCTGACCATAGCGTGGCAGGGAAGAGTGACGGGTGCTGTCACCAAGGTGGGAAGGGGCCAGTGTTTGCTGACTCTGTAAGCCAAGGAAGTGAAGAAATGGAAGTTTTCAAACATCGTAATCTGATTTACATTGTAGATGGATTGCTGGAAACACCCTGTGGCACACTAGACAGAGGGCAGATGCGCTGAGTAGTCCAGGCCAGCCAGGACCAGTGAGGAATGGATGCAAGCATTCTCCTCCGGGAGCAGATCTGACTCCACCGTGGCAGTCCTTCCACAGGTGGTGGGGTTTGGACAAGGTGGACGGCTGCCAAGGTGTGTGAAGTGGGTTATTCTAGGTGGAGCCTCCCAAAGCGAGTGATACGATGCCGTCAGCCTCGAACTTTAAATAACAGGGAGCACTGTGACAGGACAAGCACTTCCCGGCTCACCGAGTGCCGCACTTTGCGGCTCTGGTACTGTGCCAGAGGCTGGAGATACAGGGGTTTACACTTCATTCTGACCCTGACCTGAGGCCGCGGACAGGTGTGCTGAAAGTGAGGAGGAAACCTGCTAAGGGAGTCATGTTTTAAACAAAGTTACAAAGGTCAGGAGCCGAACAATGTGCTCATAGAAATCACTTTGGAAATCAGTTCTAAGGACATTTTCTTTTTTTTTTCAATGTAGAAAATTGCGTGATTAAATTCTTTGATACGCCTGACCTCCCTTGAATTTGCTGGTGTTGAGCAAGGTGTTAAGATTTTAAGGTGTTAAGTTTCTATCAGCAGAAACTCAGTTTGCTGTCAGTTGGAAAATTTTATCCAGTAACTTCCTTAGCAAATTTCCTTCCACACTGAGAGGTAAAAATTATAACTTCCTAAGAAAGAAGATGAGAGCACACAACATAGGATAATCTCCTGTATCTGGTGCCCCCGACACCATCCCACCTCTTCCTCTGCCTCCAATCTTGTCCCCCAACTGAATGACCCCTGCTTCAACTTTCCCGGCTTCTCACTGCTCTTGTAAGCTGACCCAGAACTAATCAGCATTAAGCAGTCCAGCCACGTCCATTCCCTGGGGGCTACAGACGGAATTTCAGATTCCTTAGCCTGACACAAACTGACCCAATCTACCTTTTCTGTTTTATCTCTGACTCCACTGTTCTAGTCTCTAACGGTTTTAATCACACTGGATTTTCTTCTTCAACTTTTTTATTATTCTTAAGATTGTAGTGAGATACATGCAACATAGTTACCATCTTAGCATTTTTAATGTAAGTTCACGGGCATGAAGTACATGCCCGCTGTTGTGCAAATCCCACCAGGTTTTACATTACTAATTATTTCCCTAATGATTCCAGCAGCTTGTTGCCTGGACTATACCTGTAATTATACGGTTGCTGCTGGCCTGAAATGCCTTTCCCATTCCTTCCAACTAAAATCCCACTTATCTTGAAAGACTAGTACTCACATCCTACCTCTTCCTTTAAAATTGTATCTGCAAACAGAAGGTCAACTCTGTTGCTAGGTAACGCACAGCTTACAGTAAAAAAAAAATGATGCTTTACTGGCAAATTGCATCTGTACTGGGAAGATCGACCTAGGAACCATAAATGCATGGTGGGGATGGGACACTGCAGACCTTCCTGGGTGATGACTTGTAATCAGGCAGGTCCCTTGTAGGGACCCTAGAGACCAGGTCTACGGAGTTGTTATAAGAGATATTGCTTCTCAGGTGGCATAAAGCTTTAAACCAGGGACATTCCTACATACACTCAATACGAATCTCATGTTCTTGAACTTGCGCTGCACGTGGAGGCTAGGAGAAATCTGTACACTTGCACTAAGACTCTCACGGAAGAGAAATTCTAAAGCTGCTCTATTGGTCAGCAGTGTTTCCTATATTATGTCTTTCTAGGTTAACTGAAAGACAAGTGAAGCCACAGAAGTCTAATGTGTCTGGTTTTTTTTGTTGTTGTTGTCTTTTTTTTTTGTACCAGGGATGGAACTCAGGTCCTTGTGCTTGTGAAGCAGGTGGCAGAACCACTGAGCTAAATCCCTGGCCCTAGACTAATGTGTTTGAATGTGCAGTAGGACTTAGGAAGGCTTGCCCCTGTGGGCTGCATGATTATACAGAAATATTGTACTTGCATATTAACATTCCTTGCATGCCTGAACTTAGAACCATAGGAACCAACTGTACAGGACTAGGGCAAGAGAGCACTGCATACCTTTGGAAGTAGCTGGATGGCCTGCAGAATTCTCTGTCTGTGCCCAGAATTAAGGATTCCAATTTCCAACAGATCCTGATCTTCCATAACATTGCTTCCCTGAAACAAAACCAAGAAACATTACAGGATAAAACAAACATTCACACTGCAGGAAATAATAAACAACCAACAAATGTTCCGATTCGTGTAAACAATGACATACAGTCATTATTCCATGAAGGTGAAGGCAGACTGGGCCACCTCGGCCACTGATTAGAAGGCCATAGGAACTTCCCTCTCCCCGCAAATCTTACTATTTATGGCTGGATCATGTGCACTGGAGATTAATTCCTGTGGTAGAATTCTGTTACTGAGGAATTTAAACACTTCTTGGATGACTTGCTATTTAAGATTGTCAGTGACCTCCACATTAGTGTGAATAAACCAGCTTTTAAAAAGTAATCTGAAAACAGGTTTTGTGAGGTGGGCTGACAGAAACAAAAATTGGCATGTATTGGACAGGTTAAACTTCAGGATAATTAATTTTAAAATATTTCCAGATTCCTATTCAAGATATGGGGGGAAAAAACAATGAATAAGATGCAGGTCCCTGCCTGTGACTTCTAGCCCGGAGGCAAAAGTGATTTGTTCAAAACAGTCAGAATGGCATGAAGGGCACTGATGGTGACGTCTGGAAGTCCAAAGGGGCTATGAGCTGGTTTTTCGAGCCAATGGTATAGGAAGTGTGGTCAGGACCCCCAAGTGGAAGAACTAAAGAAATTATTTGCAATAACCTGTAAGAAAAACAGTGCACTTGGAAACATCGTGTTATAGGATAATTTGGGAGAAGAGAAAAAGGTAAGGCTGAGAAGATAAGCAGGAACCAGGCTACACAGATACTGGAAGCCATGCTCAAGGGTTTAGACTGCATTTTGACCATGATGTGACGCTATCAACAGGTTATAAGAAAAGAATTATATGATCAGATTCTAAACTTGGAAAGATCATTTTGGTTTCTGTGACTAAAACTTAATTTTTTAAAATCTATAAAATGATGAAGGTGAGCCCTGAGGACTAGTCTAGCCCTGAAAGTCTCAGATTTCAATAATTATTTTAAAACTCTGGTTAATATTTGAATACAGAAATTTACATACTGATCATTTTGCCCCTAAGTTTGAGACTTTCAGAGTGTGTAAGCTTCAGTTTCTCTTTAAATTGACAAGTCTAATAATGTCATGTGAAATAAACTAAGCACAGAAAGACAAAGACTGCATGATCTCACTTGTTCACGGAAACTAAAGAAAGATGATGTCATGGAAGCAGATTGTAAAACAGCGATCACAAGGCCAGGAAGGACAGGGAGGAGGGGAAGTGGAGAGATTGGATAATGGGCACCAAATGGAGTCAGATGGAAGAAATTCAATCTAATGTTCTACAGCACAGTCGGGTAACTATAGCCTCAAACAATGTTATATTTTTTCAAAATAACTAGAAGAGTTTAAAGTCTCTTTTAATGTGTGCAGAAGACATATGCATTTGATGAGGAGACAGAAATGCTAATTATCCTGATCTGAATATTATACCCTGCACACATATATCAAATTATTATACTGCACACCATAAATATTATATGTAAATTTAAAAAATAAAAATACAATATTAAAAAGTGAGAAGTGTATAGAAATTTAAGAATTTGGATCACTGCCTTGCTGGAGAAATGAAACTGTCCTATTCATGTGTACTAACATGGCTGAGGGGAAGGGGCAGGACTTGTGTCTATGGAGAGCAGCGGGTAATGGTAGATAGTCAAAGGATATGAAAATGAACTGGAAAGGGTCATCCACGGTCCATGCAGACCACAAGGAGGCTGCTGCAGTTGCTCTAGAGATGATGTAGCCTTAGATTAAGGGAGTAGTCATGGGAGCAGAAGGAAGTGGGTAGATTTGAGAGCTATCAAAAGTTTGAGTTGGAGACTGAATGTGTCAAATGACGGGGAAATGCAGGCTCTGCCCAGGTGCCAGGCCAGGGCAGGAGGTAGATGTAGATACCTTTTCTTGAAATAAGAAATGTGTAGGGGCAGGCCTAGTACAGGGTAAAGTAAGACTAATGCCTATTCTGGAAAGAGACAGAGTAGACGGATGCAAACAGCTTAATATCAGACTGCATCACAAATGGATAATTGAATGTTCTTATATAGATTAAAGCCACTGGAACGCTTCCATAACTAGGGATTTATAATGGGCATTGACTGGACAAAAGCATTCCACCCACCCGTGGCATCATTTCTATGCTTAAGCTACACCAGCCACCTCAGAGGAAGCAGAACGGTCCAGGTATACAGAAGCCTGATAATGAAAAGCCTAATGAAAAACAAATAAAGCCAGGCTTGGCAATATGCCACAGGAAACACTGCTCTCAAGAAATTACTGAGTGCACACAATACAGCATGGCTGAGAATATAAATGACTTCATTCTGAGAAAGCCTTATTATTTCCAAACATGGATTACGGTGGCCTGAGCAGGATATGTGATATCTATTCTGACTTTAACTTTTTGGGGTATATTTTGAAAGGAGTAACTGGCCCTCAAAAAAAAGACCTCTGACCATCTGTTTACTACAGCATTATCAGTTTTCTCATATACTAAATTACCAGCCCACACCTTCAGCTCATGCAAAATATAGGGCCTAGATTTTCTGTACAAATATGAAGTACACCAGGATCTACAGTCGAAAGAAGCTACAACCTCCAGGTAATCCTGAACTTTGATGCCCATATTTAAATACTGAGTTGATTTCAGCAATTAAATTGACATAGACCACTGGTCTTTCCTTAAGCCATTCTATACTATCTTTTCTTTCTTCAAGAAGGAGATTTCTAGAAGACTTGTAGGGAAGTTAGACATTTTTAAAGAAGGTGTTAAAGACCTAAAAACATTTTGTGATTGAGTCAAATGTCGCAGCATGCAGGAGGATTACTACTTTTGGAAAACGTGAAAAGAATGGGCAGCAAAATGCAATTTGTGAGAATGTACCCAAGGGCAAGTGATGCTAACCGGGAAACGCGAAGAAAAGGGACCACTGTTTCCAATGAAGCACATGGTTAGAAATTTTTATTTTGCTGATCATTCTGGTCTGTTCATTACACAATATATACACGTGTGGAAGCATCACACTATACCCCATGAATATGTGCAATTATTATGTGTTGATGAAAAATCAGTAATAAAAAGACATCGTCTACCTCTTCCTCTTTTTCTAATATACAAGGATAACCAAGTATGCAGAGGTCATTGGGCAGGCGAGGGTGCTGGGGTCAAAAGACCCGAGTTTGGGTCATGGTAAACCTGGATGAGTCAGGTCTTCTTTTGCAGCTGTGCAGGTCTCACCCATGATGTGCATTCAGTTCAAACACGCTATGATTCCAGTCATATTTGACTCTTGATTAGTGTCATTATGTGTAAGTGTAGATTGTATTTTGAAATTACATTTTTGGTGTTTCAGACTTTGTAACTTAAAGTTGTGTTAGGAAATGATTACGGACAATGTATCTTTTTGACAAATAGATCTTGAGATTATGACTATAACATTTCTACCAAAGAAAATTACAGAATATCGTATTTTTGCAGCATTATAAATTCTACAGCTTTCCAGAGAAAAATCTAATATTTCAAGCCGCATAACCATTTCTTTTGTACTTGGGTAAATGTTTACACCAGAGGACCACAAACATTCCCGTTCTTCCTAGAGAGTTGGAATTTATCCTCACTTTATCATTTGTCTTTACTAAATGTTACAGACTTTCAGCCTGACTTCTTTATTCCTAATAAAGGCTGAGCAGAAATCCCAGCCTTCTCCCTCCTCCATTCATTGTCCACATGACAACCAGATCACTGGTGTTCGTGCCTGACTTCTGCTTCACCACCCACTCCAGTGTTCTCTCCACCTCCTCACCTCCCAGGACACCTGCTGTCTCTACTTCATCTTTCGTTTACTCCTCCACACACTGTAAAACCCTTCTATCTTCCACTAACTCCACAGAATGCTCTGTGAAATGTTGAGAATGACCTCTTGGTTGCCAAACTTGCTCGATTCTTTTCAATCTTGATTTCAAGTGCTCCTCTGCCACATGTGTCTGGTGGCCACCATACCGGACCCCTCAGATTTAGAACATTTTTATCACTGTACAACTATTGGTAGTTCTATGGGTGCTAGCCTACTGCTATAGACATTGGGAACTCTGGTCATGTTACACAGACAGGGCAAAAATGGGGCAGGGAAAAAACACTCATGAGTCATTTTCCAGATAGAATTATTTATGTGCTTCTTGGTCAAAGGTTTGTGAACATTAGTTTAGCATCTTAGGAAATTCTCTTCTAATTTTTCAGTCATCAAAGCAAACTAAACCTCGTTCTACTTTCACTAGTGTGTCTTTACTACAGGGTTATACATCTATGTTATGAAAATGACAAGTTCAATTGATAAATTATTTTCTGAGCACCTCACCAGGCACACTGCACAATCATTTATAAAGTTGTTTGGTTAGTAATTTACTAGATGATTAAAAGGCCCAAGACAATGTTTTCATAACAGCTGTTCTTTTACTGACACGAGACGACTAATTCAGGAGGTCCTTATTGCTTTCTTAAATCATGGAGTGAAGAACAATTACCTAATATTTTGTGCACAGCTATAGTACTTTAAATATTTATGGCCACACAAATTGTGGAGAAGAATCTAATTGAGTTAATTATAGAGCAAAAGCAGTTTCCCTCCGTCAACAGTATCTTCTTAATCTTTTCAGTCTTGGCTGAAGGAAGAGCAAGAAGAAATAACACCACCTAACTCAAGCTGGTATTAAGAAGAAACCAGCTTGCTCTGGTCGCTAAATGTTGCCAAGCATTTGATATGATATGGCATGTGGAGGGAACGTGATAGAATACTAATGTTATGAAACTAGAACTTCTTTCATGTGATAGCTCTGAGAGGCAGGGCCATTAGTGCAGGCATTCCTGAGAAATTATTTCAATAAGTAGCTGTGCTATTTCTAATGGGCCCTTAAATATAAAACACTGCTTTTCATTCTATTAGGCTTAAACTTACTGGTATGCTCATACTTTTC